GTCGCGTTCGTACAGGCGTTTTGCTGTGTTGAAACGCGATCGAATTTTCACTTTTTAACCGATTTTTATATTTTGAGATCACACCGTCGCGTTCGTACAGGCGTTTTGCTGTGTTGAGACGCGATCGAATTTTCACTCTTTAACCGACTCTGCTTTTATATTGCAGTATCACGCACGTACTAATCGTTTTGCTGTATTGCGCGCGAAGTCGGTCCCTGCTCGGGCGCCAGTTAAATTCTTCTTTTCTTTAAATGATAAAAAAAAGATTTTATTTGATTTGGACGAAACAAGTCCGTTTTATTCAAATTGAATTTGGCAACTCACAACTTAAATCAATTCTATCCCTAGCTAAGCTGTGGTTCAGTCAACGGCGCTGGCAGCGGCGTCGCTCGTGGTGTTGTTGGCCCGTTGTGCAATTCTTCTTAGAATTGCTGCAGCTCTGGTTGGCGTGTGCAGGGAGTCCACTGCAGCTCTGGTTGGCGCGTGCAGGAAGTCCACTAGACGTGGTGTCAGCAGATTTGGCTTATGGAGTTTGTTATGTCTTATTTGTGTTGCAATAATTCCCATTGGATTTTGTTGCAATGTGGAATTATTTTCGTTATTAACTTCTATGCTCATTTTGCTTTGTTGGCTTTCTGCAGGTCTAATACGCTTTGTTGGTTGGTTAGGTATGCCAGGGATTTGTTGTGGAGCTACTTGCCCGAAGCGATTAATGTCAAATTGGTTTTGTCTAAGAACTGGTCTGACTGGATTAGGGGTTGGTTGTATTGGTCGAGGTGAATAATGATTAGGTGAAATATTGTTATGGTTAGTATAATTAGGTGTTGGTGGAAGATATGGTTGTTGAAAATAGGGTCGATATGGGACATAGGAATGGTTTGGTTGGAGAAATGTAGGAAACTTTTGAATATTGGGATTGGAATTTGATGGCTTGAAGTTTTTATCTTGTTTTACTTTGTTTTGATTTGGAATTAGACAGGGTTCATCATAAAGGTTTTTTTCTTGTAATATGTTTATTAAAGATCTTAAATCGGAAATTTCGCAATTTATTATCCGAATGCAAATGTGTGTGGGTAGTTTTTGGATTAAGTTTTCAATACTGGTTTTAATTAACCGCGCATACAATGTTTTTTCGTCTAAATTATTTTCTAGTTCTAGCTTACTCGCCAATGTCTGCCTACGGTGTTCTGCTTCTTCCAGAAAAGCTTTCACGTTGCCTTTGAATGGGGTGTTTCTGAATTCCTCCAATAAGACGTGGTTCTGGGTTTGCGTCTTGTAGTTCAAAATTAGTTGTTTTCGAAGATCCGTCCATGTTGTCAAATTGTTTATGCCAAGAGATAGCATAACTTCACTGCTGATGCAGCTTTCCACAAGTCCAAAAAGTATTGACCTCTGCCTCGCATCATTGGTGGTGTAGAGTGCCAATATGTAGTCGATCCGGCTAACGAACGTGTACAGACTGTTCTTATCTCCAGTAAACTTCTCAATATTTTTAAGCTGGTTGATCACTTGTGTCATGTTGGCATCGGAGAGGGGTGATGTTGCGTCTCCTTCCATTTTGATTATTTAATTTGTTACAATTTAAAGTATATATTTTTTATTTTATTTTTTATTTCAGTTTGCTTTTTATTGTAAATTTCTTTTTGTTTAATTATATTCACTTAATTTATTGATTGTTCAAATAGTTTTTTGTTTAAGTATATTCACTTAATTTGTATTCACTTAATTTATTAATTGTTCAAATAGTTTTTTGTTTAAGTATATTCACTTAATTTGTATTCACTTAATTTATTAATTGTTCAAATAGTTTTTTGTTTAAGTATATTCACTTAATTTGTATTCACTTAATTTATTAATTGTTCAGTTTGTTGCACAGATAGCACTTTCGAATGTTTTTGAGATAACCAGAATCGTCTGGAATTATGTTCTCTTCGAATTCTATCGCGTCTTCTTGAATTTTTTTCAAGTTGTTATTTTATTATTTTTATTTACACAATCACAATCTGCGGCTTTGGCAATTTGCGATTTTCGGTTTTCACGTCACTGTCGAGGTTTTATGTTTTTTTTTTTTTTTTAAAACTTGACGCGATATTGACCGTCGCGTGGGTTGCCTTTGCGTTAGTTGTTTAGCGGATGGCAGTAAACGGGACAAAAAGAATTAATAACTTAGTTATTGCATCAGATGGTCCACAATTTATTGTCATCCTACCGGCTGCGCCAATTAGATATATGTTATCAGTCGAATAAATGCCGCGACATATGCTAACAGCAACGCTAATGTAAATTAAAAGACGAAGTCAAAGTTAGATTATGACAACTTGCTTTATTGAACAATAGCTTAAGACTAAAGACAATTTTTGTTAAAGGCTCTTTTATAGGCTGCTGAAATTACGCAGCAGACAAAGATCAGTTGGACGCGTCGTTCTAAGAATTTCGGCTCGCAACATTATTCCTATGCAATAGCAAAAAAATGCAACGGGATTTTGTCAGGCCGGCGCCACTATTTATGATTTGGTTATTTTCGCTTTATTCTAGATTTTCGTGAAATAAGAAAATCCAGTATGAACTAGTTTTCAATATTCTATGTATTGTGGACATTGTCAGTATGAATATGTCACTATATATATTTTCTATTAAGTTATAAAACTAAATGTTATTGAAGAACTGTTTGCAGGGTATTCCATAGTAAGTTAGCCCTTCTTAAAGCATTTCAACTTCCTTTTTTGATTGTTGTAATTTGACGACTAAAATGTCATGAGAACTTTGAGCTCTCAATTGCTTGCAGTTGAAAAAGGAGTTGAGTTGGGGTTATCGTAAATTGACTTCTGTCTAGCTCAAATTAACTTAATGAAGTGTCATAAGATTCTTCGAGCAGTGCTACAACTTGAGTTTCCAGGTGAGCTGTGAGTGTGACAAAAATATAGCGTATTGAGCTTTGGCTACGCTTTTGGCTTTACTCTTTTTGCGAGTATGCAAATTTTGGGGCACATGCTTTGAATCAAATCTCAAATCAATTCCCGCCATGGGGCAGCATACAGTCTCCGTTGCAATATCCAAAGCAGACACGGGGCAAACTCATACAAAATTAGTTCGCTGCTCATAAAAGTTTCGGCAAAGTTCGCCATCGCATTGCCCCACCGTTTCCTCTCGTGTCGTGAGGTTTATTGTATCGTGTCGTGTCGTGTCACGTGCGTTTGCCCCAGTGCTCGTAAGTTGCCTTCTTCGCACTGATTTGTGCAACAAAACAATTTCATTCTGCGGGGACCAACGCTTGAGAAACTTTTGTCCCAATGGCTTAATTGTATTTTCAGTTTCAAGCTTTGGAAAAGAAAACTAAAATTCTAACGTGGAAAGCTAAATAAAATACAAACACACATCGCACTTTCATGCGTGATAAGTGTGGCATATTCTGCGTTCCTATTGCTCGTGTGGCTTCCTCAGCTGGCCACAGTCGCGGCGCTCACTTTATTTTCGCGCATCGGAGTTGTCTTTCAATTTAGCTGGATTTTCGACTAACCGCACTCGCTGGTCGTGTTTTTTGTGCCCGTAGCCCTCATGGAAGCCCTCTATTTTTCTATTCCTTGCGCAGCACACCTTTCCGTGCTGCTCTATCATCAGTCGACTTTTTCGTGTTAAAGAACAAGCGTGGAATCTAACGCAGTACCAGCTTTATGTGGACCTACACTTAGAAAAAAATAGTAAGAATATTTAAACTTAACGCAAGTATTTTAATATTTAAATAAGCTAAAAATGGGAACTAAAAAATATGAGACTTTAACATAAACATAAAAGCAGACGAAAAGATAAAATCAAAATTTAAAAATCAATTCAATTTTTATCTGTTTATAAATATTAGCATTAAATGCTTTTTAAGAAGATCAAATGTGTTTGTCTTTAATACAAAACCACTTTTGCATATAAGATGAAAATAAGTGTTTTATCAGAAAGATTTTGTTTGAAAAAAAAAAAAATTGTTGGAATTTTTGCAAATTAAAAAAAAAAAATATCTTGTGTCACATTAGATACTCACAGCATTTAAGAAACTCTTTGCTAGAAAATGAATTGCTACAGCGTATATTGGGCTTAAGACTATTATTATAAATTGCTAATATAGTCAACTCCTCATAAATAATTTATTTAAAAAGATATTATTAATAAAATTACATAACAATTTAAAGTATTATAAATCAAAAGTATAAGAAATAATAAATTTACGAGCTTTCCGTGCGGCTAATGGAAGTTATAAGAGCCGACAAATAACCTTAAATTTTTTTTAAAAATTATATATATATATATATATATATATAGAAGAAAGCAAGTCATAAAGTAATCGAAAGTAGCCATCAGTTTTCTGACAGTGTACGACGCATACTTGTAATTGGGGCTAGCGTGTTTTATGCAAGCAATTCGGAACGATGCCTTGTCGAAGAACTTGAAGATTTAATTTATTTGAAGTGCGCTTCAGTTCGTGGCGACTTGGTGGGGTAGCCATTTGGCAAACCAATTTCGATTCGTTTCCACGCTCAACCATTTTGAATTCATCTATCGATTGGTGAAAAATGACTTCGTTTTGGTTTCGATGCGCTGATTCGTTTGCCATTGCATTTATTTAAACGTTTCAATTGCTCGATTTCTGTTTTGTTTGGCTACCATCGCTGGCATTGCTTTTCCGCTTTTCCGTTTACATTTTCTCTGTGTGTGTTGATATCGATTTTATCTTGAAATGATCTATTATGCAGTCGCTCTGGGCGGGACCGAGACCCAGCCAACAATTGCTTATACAAAATAATGAATGTAAACAATAATTATAGCCAACATGTGCGCGGCTTATAATTTGGCATATGGATTGATAAAACCGATTTCTCCCACGCGCCGTAACTGTTAACTCGAAAACTATAATTTGAATGAATAAATAGAATTCGATGCGGCTATAAAAGTGCTTGCTCGTATTTGGTGAACTGAGAGTCGAGAAAGAACGCCTGACCATGCCGCTGGCCAAGATGGATAGCCTCATGAAGTATGCCAACTTCTTCTACAAGTGCGTTGGCATTGAGCCCTATTCGAGTCGCACGCGTTCGAGGGGACCTACAACTTGGATTACCTTTGTCTTTTGGGCAAACACCATTAATGTGATCATTGCGGTGCTCGGCGAGGTGGCGTTTGTGATTAAAGCATTTGTCACTGGCGATCATATTGTGGAGGCCATCATGGTCATGTCCTACATAGGATTCGTCGTGGTGGCCCTTAGCAAAATGTTCTGTGTGTGGTTGAAAAAAGTGGAGCTCAGCCAAATCATTTGGGATCTTGAGGATTTATTTCCACGTGACAAGGTAGCTCAAGCTGCGTATCGATTGGATGATTATTTGCATTCCTGCTCCCGCATCAGCATTACCTTTGCCATGCTCTATACCGTGCTGATCTGGACGTTTAATCTGTTTAATCTCATGCAGTATTTCATTTATGACTTGTGGCTGAATACGCGAGTTATTACAGATACTCTGCCCTATTTCGTGTATTTACCCGGGCTCTCAGGGGACAATTGGACCTACTATCTTCTGCTGTTCTGCGAAAACTTTGCTGGCTGCACCGCGGCAGCGGGTCAAGTGTCTACGGATTTGTTGCTTTGCGCTGTAGCCACCCAGATAATCATGCACTTTAATTTCTTGGCAAAGATGATTGAGGATCAGCAGCTGACGGGTAGTTGGGAGCAGGACTCACGGTTCCTTTCTGATGTTGTAAGCTATCATAATCGTTTGCTGCGTCTCTCCGATCAGTTAAATCAGATATTCGGTATACCTTTGATATTGAACTTTATAATCTCTTCATTTGTGCTCTGCTTTGTGAGTTTTCAAATGACCGTGGGTGTGCAGCCCGATGAGATGGTCAAACTTCTTTTGTTTCTTGTTTCCTCGCTGTGTCAGGTCTACTTGATATGCTATCATGGACAGCTGATAGTCGATGAGGTAAGAGGCTATATAAATATATACACATATATAGATATGTATATTCTTCATTCATCACTTTTCTAATTCAGAGTTTTAGCATTTCTATGGCCGCTTACAGACACAACTGGATCAATACAGATGTGCGCTACCGCAAAGCTCTTGTCTTTATCATAAAGCGCTCGCAGAAGCCAATTTATCTAAAGGCAACTGTCTTTATACAGATCACCAGAGGCACCATGACCGATGTAAGTTGCTACAGTGAAATCGCTGTTAATGGGAGTCGACATGAATCAATTGTAGCTTCTTTAATGGAGCTGATTGACTTGCTTTAGTTGCAGTACATATATATATATATAAGGCTTATATATATATATATATATATATATAAAGCCTTTATTTGCTGTTGTTCGATATGATTTTGGTTTTGGTATGTCCATTAACTTTTTGTGCTTGTGAATATTTTGTTTTACAGCTGCTGCAATTGTCGTACAAGTTTTTTGCGCTGCTACGCACCATGTACGTCAAATAGAAATGCCCATCAAATATATATTTATACGTATATAGTAATTGCTCGAAATCCTCTACACATGCCGCGTGCTTTTAAAGGATCAAGCAGCGCTCATGGTACCAGGTCTTCATTATGCAAACGCATGTTCATACTGTGCATTAGCTGAAATCTCGAAAAAAACAAACTGGACAACAAGAAAAAAACAAAGCGACAAAAAATAAATTGTTTTTGGCATACCGAAGATTACATACACTAAAAATATTCCCCATCAGTATATAAAAAAATTGTGTTTATTTAACAGACGAGTCTAAGTAGGAAAGCTTTGAAGAGAGTTAAGAGCTCCACAGAGTCGTCTGGGCAAATTTTGAAAACAATAAATAGAATTGTGTTTATAAATATTTACGCAACATTAGATAAACGCCCTGACATTGTTTAGTAATGCTCTATATTATTTAATTGATGTGATTGTCCATCAATTTATATCAATTCGATTATTATGAAGAAAAGTTAACGAAAGTTTGTTAAGGCAATAGTTTTTTTTAATTTTAGTTTCTTATGTTTCCTGTTCAAAGCATATTTTAATTACATTTATAATTTATATATATATATATATATATATATATATATATATATATATATATATATATATATGTTCTATGGGTTACAAATGACTTGAAATATTTAAAACATTCCTTTTGCAGAGTATACAATACAGGAATGTTGCCTAGTTTGAGTGCGTGTTTGCTGTTGGAAGTATTCGCTGGTTGCCAAGTACTACATTTGACGCTTTGGCTGGGCAAAAGTTGCGTTTTATGAGTTTTTCAGCTATATTATATTTGTTATTGGTGTTGTTGCTTTCGTTGTTGTTGTTCTTTTACAACGTTGCTTTTGCTTGAAGCTCAGAATGTCGACATTTTTCAACAAAATGTTCTGATTGCATGTAATGCACTTTCTATAAACTGTGTGTGGGTGTGTGTTGACTACGCACTCAGAAATATTAGCAATTTATGCGCTGGAGTGTGTGAACTGTTAAAAAACGAATGCGCCATTACGAGCTGAGCGACAGTGTTGCCTTCTTGTTCCTACGTCTTCCTAGCTCTGTGGTTGGCACTGCCCAAGCGAATAGGAAATGGCTCTATTATCGACAGAGCTGCCTGCTTGCCTGTTGGCTCACAATAAACCCGACATGCAGTGCGCAATTTGATGAATTTATGAATCACCTGCACCTGGCAGTCCGGACAACTTGTGCCTCACTTCGTCGGCTGTTCATAAAACATATTATATATATATATATTTTATTATATAGAGACATATACACATTTCATCGTAGATATAGTATTATGTAATAGTATTTTTATTTTATACCTTTTTTTAATATATATCTATGCTTCCATTTTGGTTGGGTCTTTGCGAAGGTTTATTCTTTTTTATGAAATTCTTATGAAATTTTTATAAAGCTTCATCTGTGCGCTGCAATATTTAATTTCTGGTCACGTCTTGTGTGATTTTCGGAAGCCAACAACAACAAGCATGTTCAATATCTGCGAGCTGTCTTGTTTACTTGCCAATTTCTTTACTCTTGCTCATGGCTCATGTTTCAAAATAGACTTGTAAATCACAAAATATTGATTCGTCGCTAGGGCAAGCTTTTGACAATGGCATCAAACAAGAAATTCAAAATTTTAAATTTAATTATTAAATATGATAAATACATGTTCTTAATATGCATATGTAGGTATAAGTTGGCACGAACAATTGAGGCAAACTTAACAAAAAAATTGAATATTGTATAAACTACTAAAGTGCATTGAACACCAAGCATCTTTGTCTTCGCGTCCGGTTGACTTATATCAAGGTTTTGCTGGCGGCTAAGTTCTGGAGGTTTTGGGACATTTCATTCATGTCTTCATTTAATTCTTGTTTTGTAGAGGCGATTAACAATTATTCATTAGTCAAAGGGATTGCTGAAGCTTTTTAATTGCAGAGAATTACCCTTTTCCCTGATTAGTTGTATTTATAGTAGATCTGAATAAGTTCTATGTGCTCTTTGGTTAGTCTAGAAATCTCTTGATGAACCCAGGAGTCTCCAATCTCTTTATGGAATTTCTTGATTGAGCGGAGTAGATGTGCATTGGAGATTATTACGTTTTTTCTAAAATATCTCTATAATGCTACAGTTGACATTGCTGGCAGTGAGCCAGATTAGAATCTCATAGGTCCACATGGGTTTTCATTATGGCTTTGTAGATTAGTAGCTTGACACGCAGCCGCCGTGCGGATTTTTCCAACAAGCCAGAGACACTTCTTCAGCATTCTGTGAATACCTTAAGTTTAAATGAATAAATCGGGGTTTTAATGTCTCAAACAATCTTATAGTAGCATTGAAACTAATCAATAAGTATTTAGATTTTTTCGCATTTACCACTCACGTCCAATAAAAGTGTCGCCGACTCTTTGATCCACCGTCGAACGAAAAAAATGTTTTTTGTTTCCTTTTGCATTTGCTGCTGATTGTTAAATCCACTTATCAAAACGTGCAAATAACTCAACACTCAGGATAGACACACACAGCTGACACTAACTCACACACACACACTGAAATGTGCACTCACATGCATATGCATGTGGCTCACATGACCCAGTGAGCCGTGTCCATTGACCAGTACACAAAAAACTATTGGCGCTTTGCACAAAAAAACTACCAAAATAAAAGAAAAATTTTTAGTTAAAAGTCCTCGACTCTTATATATTCTGTAAACATTTATAAATATCAGAACATTTGTTTATTAAAGTATTTAATATTATTTTTTTCCAGTTGTTAGATAAAGAAATTAAAAAAAAAATTATTTTTATATTCATTTTCACTTCAAATAAATTCAATAGTCATGAACTGTGGGCCAGTTACTGCCTGCTGCTGGCTCCTCTACTTCTTTTTCTAGGGTATACAAATAGGTTACCATCGCTCAACAAACTCTGATGTATTACAGTTGCCGCAATTTGGGCTCAGCTCACTATTTTTTCAATTAGCTGTCATTAAATTGAATTCAAATATTGAAACAATATGCGATCCAATCCCTTTCCCAACCTAACTGCCACGCCCCTTCAATCGACGCACAGATTGCAGTTGCTGTTGAGCTTAGTTCAGTTCTTTGGGTGCCATCAGATGATTTATTGATTTCCAGTTTGCAGTTTTTCTTGTCAAAACTTGACTGCGGCAAATGTGAGTGTTGCATTGCCAGTTTTATCGCTCGGATTGCTCGCCCGGTTGTCAACCAAAAGTGTTTATAAAAATGACTTTGCAATGTCATAAAATTGTTCGAACTGCCATTTGGCTTTTAGACATTTTGGTTGTGCGTGTGTGAACTGCTTGTAAGCACTCTAGGATGCGCCTGATTGATAAATCGAAAAGTTAATTGAATATTTTGTGTGCGAATGGTCAACGATCAAAAAGAGATATATCTAAAACAGAGCAACAATCAACAAAGCTAGAAATTGTGTAATACAACTTACAAATGGATTGCTAACATAAATGATGGTTGGCTTTTACCCATTGAAATAATATGAGTATTGTCCTTGGCTTAGCTATACATTTATCATTTTTATGTGTCTTCATTAGAAGTAGACAAATGATTTCAATTATGCTTTGGTTAACTGTGCCTAAATTAGGCTTATTGAAATTATGTCTTGTATATTTATTTTGTATTCGATATTGCTCTAAGTCTTTAGTTGACTAATTCATTTTATGTTTAACTTTGTAATACTCTTGAATTCCCTAATTTCTTAGTCTTTAATTGCCTCTTTTTTATAAGAATTTGTAGCTGTTGTTCGATTTGAGGCAGAGTAGCTTGTGGCTGAGAAAGGGTCAGACCCGTTTGCCCACTAATTCTAATTGATTTTGAAGATGATATTAATGGGCGCTTACTGTGTGTAAATGTATGTATAGCGATTGATTTATGAAGGCTTGGCTTAGTGATATTTACCTGGGTCAACTTTTAAAAATGCAAATGCAATTAACTTTGTGCGACAACGCGGTGAGTCATTACAGGAAAACTCGATAGGCAATAAAAAACGAGTACGACAGTGCTAGTGGGACAGAGAGGGAGAGAGAGAGAGCGAGAGTGAGGGAGACGTAGAGTGCGCTTGAAGTGGGTCATAATAAAAGATATAAGTAAAAAGCAGAGATGAAGATGAGGACTTAATGTTCTGCTGAGACACACAAAGCGGCCGCAAAGAGGCGCTGCTTGTATGCACAAAGATAAGCAGCCGGATTTCATTTGCTCATTACTCAACGGCTTAAACGGCAGCGAGGCGGGTACCAGGCGGAAGAGCTGAGGGGGAAGTCGACTCGCAGCCGCTTTCGTACGCAGCGGCATATAAGAAATGCATGTGCACATAATTCATTTTTTACGCTAGATTACAACAAAATGCTGGCGACAGCAGCAGCAGCAGCAGTAACTGTGGCAGTGGCATGTCGCTTAAGTAGCTACACGAACTACCTACACCCACACACATATACAGCAAAAACTTCTTAGAAGAAAATTAAGTTGAAACAGTCTACGTTAGAGAGCTGACGTTGTTGGAGGAGGCAGCGGAAGCGGATGCGGCAACCAAGTTTATGTTAAAGTTTGATGCATGACACACACCCACGAACCTCCCACAGCACACACGCACACACACAAAGATAAGTAGCTGTATTTGCTGGCAAAGTTATATTCCCAGCGAGCTGCTGCCGTTGACTTTTATGCCTCTGTTGCGAGTTGTGTTGGTGTCCATTGCACCGGGCGTATGCGTGCGTGTGTGTGTGCGTGGTTCAGGTGTAACGGAAATTAAATCAGCTTCATGTGCAGTGCACATCATTAGTATGTATGGAGGCATCGCCCACGTAAGTATGCAACAGTTTTACTATTAATCCTGCAAATTGAGTTTACGCAAAAGCGAGAAAATATCTTGATTAGCTGTTGCATGGCAATTCGAACTTATATACCGTTTAGGCTCTCTCCCTTTCGGTTTGCTGTATTGCT